CAGAGAGGTTGTGGAGTCTCCTTCCCTGGAGATATTTAAAACCTGCCTGGACGCGATCCTGGGCAATGTGCTCTAGATGAGCCTGCTTGAGCAGGGAGGTTGGACTAGATGATCTCCAGAGGTCCCTTCCAACCTTGGCCATTCTGTGTTTCTGTGATTCTGTGATATCCGACAGAATGACACAGATGCCTGGGCCACCCCATAAAAGGAGGACTCCTGTTTATCTTTTGCTTTGTATTATGTTATGTTTTGATTTCTTTGCTTTGTAAACTCCCTTGCCCTCATACCCCACGCCCTTCTGGCGGCCTGTAACTAGCTTTCCATCATGGGGGTAGAACGTATGGGAAAATGCAGAAGAAGGTCGAGGAGCTAAGTGATGGAAGCTAGCCAGACCATTCCGTGGGAAAAGGAGCAGCTACAGGGCAGGCTGACCCATAGTCACGCGGCTGAGCCCCTGTCAGTGTGGCGCTGCACTTGGGCTTTGAATCGAGATTAGCAATGAGCTCACTATGCTTACTGCACATGTGTGTAGCCCATAAAAACCTCACATAGTGCCCCCCTGGCGTTCCTCGCCCTGGACCGACGCTCAGCAGTGCCAGGGACTCTCCCACTCCATTATTGCCTCGATCAGGAAATCGCTGGGGAACCCCTGCTCAGACGCAGAGGTAATAAACGCGCAGTATCAATCATAGTGTGCCTTGTGTTTGTGTATCTGTCTCTGCCTGGAATCCAGGCATTGCCCCCACCTTACCCTTACACAAACCATACCTGTTTTGTTTCCCCAGGAAACTTGGTTGGAAATGGCATTTTAGGAAGGCACATATATCCTGATTTTCCCATCAAATGTGGTCAGTGTACATTTGAATTTTTTTTCCTGAAGCTACACTGACATCTGAATGTCCAGCTGTGTTCTTCCTGGTTTTAAGCTCAAATTCTCCTTAATTATAGGGAAACTTCTACTGCATTGAAGTTTTGCATAAGAAAGAATCAAGAAAAAGTACTAGTATACCAGGTGGCAGAAACGATCCAGCAAATAGAGTGTGGTTAACAAACATGCTGATTACACACAACATAAGAGCACCACTTTCTCTCCTACACCTACAGCTCAGTAATTTTGCAGAGCTGCCAATGTAAAAAGAAATATCACTTTGCTTTTTTTATTCAACTAAATTACTTATTACTTTGCTATTTTTATGCAATTATTTCTCAGAACAGAATCACTTTTTTGAAAGAGTAATTATTTTCACATGTTGCAATAAAAAGAGTAAAAACCTTTATTCACACTTCTCAGTTGCTCAAATGGTAATTTACACATTCAAGTTATTTTAAGATTTATTTTTCCTCTTAGCTTATTGAAACTTATTTACAAACTCAACATTTGTTCGTTTTTTTCTTCATTAAACTACAGGATACTACTAATAATAATGTAAAAAACCATCGCTAAAATCACCTTACATTCAATATATTCTATTATAAAGCAAAGTCTTAATTTAGAAATACATTACTATTTAAGCACAAACAATATTGTACTAAGCACTGATATACAGATTTGCAGGCAAGTAAAACAAACCAAATACCTTTAGCCTCCAATTATCTCCTACTTCTGTTTTGATTCTGTTTAACCAGTTTTCATCAAAGTAAGTTGGATCTCTGAAAATACATAAAAAGTTAGAACATTTGTTAAGAACACAAATTTCAAGTACTGACACCTTAGTGATTCAACATCTATTTTAGGCAGATGTTATTTAAATTACTATCTATATAGATATGGCCAGTATATAAAAGTTCAGAATCCTGCTATTATTCATTTATCTAAGTATTTACACCCTGCTCATATCTCAATTTTCTCTGCATGCCATGGGTAGTTAATACTTTTGAGGAAACTGCAACACTTGGAATGCATCTTGCCAATTTCTTCCATGTCTCCATGTTGAAAGTGTTCTTTCTTAATGTTACAGATTATCAGCTAATGCTGGGGCTTAAACTCTCAGGGAATACTACCATGTTTGCAACACTTAAAAAATTAGTAAAATTATTAATGTTTTTTTCCCCACACATGAATTCCTTGCTAGATTCTGGCTATAAATACTCCTTTAATAAAAAGGAAAGCTTGAGAGTGAACAAAATATGCCACCTTCATACACTGAAAAAAAGTTAAAAGCAGCACTGGAATTAAGTATTTGCTACTGAGAACATACTTATCTGTTATCTCTTCTATCAAACATCACAGTTTTTCCAAATATTTTTTCATGGTAATCCTTCACAAAAAGATTTATCATTACCTTTCTTTAAAGGATTTTCCATCTTCTGCACTTCTGGTGAGGCAATCAAGGTAAAGACACAGAAAAAGAGAACACCTATTGCTTGTATAGCATGCTGCTATTTCTGTAAACCTCCTTCCTCTCTCTTGCACATCTTCACTGAGCTACTTATTCATGACAACTAACACTCCCTCCCTCTTGCCCCCAGTTCAGAGACAAGATTATCTAAAAGGGTAACATTTCCTACTGCTTACTGAAGTCACATTTTCCCTTCTACAACGTAAGATTTTTGACAGTATGATCAGAACTAAAGAGAGATAAGACATTAAAAATAACTGGTATTAAAGCAATATGCTAACATAAGGAAAGACTCATATTTCAGATGAAAAATAGTCACCACAGTCCAAAAAAAAGCATTTTTTTGAAAGAGTAAGGCTCTTAAGAGCCAATGTAGTAGTCAATCTCCAGACTTCAGTTGCACAAAAAGTATTCCTAATTTCTAGACTTAAACTACCACATGTTGCTGCCAAGTACTATTAAATTTACTGCTGCATTCTCCAGAGAGACACAAAGTGGACATAATTATCTGTGTTTCACTGGCAAAGACCAAGAGAACTTTCTTAGGGGCCTCATCTTATCATCCTGGTCATGGTAGGTCACAAACATCTTCAGCTGCTTCAAGGCTGCAGTGCCATGATTATGCCAATTCTTGGCTTTACATTTTCATTGTATAAAAAAAAAAGTCTGAAAAGCAAGATGGGAAACAACATAGAAATGCTCACAAGGAGAAATCTACTTGGAGGGACTGGTTGACTAACACTGCATACCCAATATTCAACAAGGAAGCCATCACCTGATGAAAAAATGCAAAATTTAGGGTTCAACACCAACTCAGTTCACCCCGGTGAGCTATATTTCAACAATGATTAAAAAGCTTTTCTTGGCTACAACAGTAACGTGGTACAGGGACCATCAATCTACCTTCACTTTCTTCTTGACAGAAGTCATGGACTGCTTACACTTTTATTTAGCTCTCTAAACATTCGTTTTAGGGAGGCTCCTTGGAATGAAATCAAGTTAAACCTGAGTGTCCCCTTTGGTCTTCATGAAGGATCCAAGGACTAGCAGCAGATAAACAATCCATTCAGTCATTCACACAAAACAATAGTCAGAAAAGTGTCAACAACAATTCTCTTTACAGGACCTCAATGCCAGATTAAAAAATAGCTAGCAACATCCAAAGACAGACCTGTGCCAGCAAATCTCAGAAAGAACGCTGTAAGAGGGTCATCACCAAGAAAGTCTAAAATTATCATACTTTCCTCCACTGTTGGGAAGTCACCTCAGCATCATTCCTAATGCAACTGCCAAAATTTCAGTTCTCAAAATTCTAAGGTTCAAATCATGAGTATTAACATCAACAGCAATGCTTTCTCTCTATAATCAAACTAAGGGACCAAATCATCAGAGATCAAAAATTTAGCATAGAAACATTTAAAAAACGGTGTATTGGGCCTAACAGGCAGGGTTTGGGTAGCAGGGGGCTGCAGGGTGCCCTGTGTGGGAGGAGGCCAGGAACTGCCCTGGGCCGGTCACAACTGGTGCCAGCCGGCTCTGGAAGGGATGAAAACAACCCATTGCATGCCAAAACTCCAACCAATCCGAGGAGCACATGGAGCCTCTGCTCAGATATATTTAAGAAAGAGCAGCAGCTGTTAGAGGTGGGAGATACAGGAGGAGGTATGTGAGGACATACAAAAGTAAAGACACGAGGAGACACAGGACACAAAAAGAGATGTGAGGAGATATGTGAAGAGACATGTTTGGAGAAACAAAATGGATGAGACATGTGGAAAGGGGCATTGTTGGGGACATGGCTGGAGATGCATTCTTGGGAGGAGGTGCTCCATGCCAGAGGAGGTATGCCTCTGAGGGAACTGCAGCCCATGGATAAGCCACACCAGAGCAGGTACACCCATGAAGGGACTGCGGTCCATGGAGGAACCCACACCAAAGCAGAGAAAACAAGTAAGAAGCCAGGAGCAGCAGAAGAGTAAGAAGCAAGGAGCTGCAGACAGAAACCACTAGGCACTGGCCCCAACCTCCTGTGCCACCCGTTGCCTCACTGAAGGGATTGGGAGAGACTGAGTGTAACATGCAGTGAAAACAAGGAGAGTTGAGACTAGGAAGGAGGGAGGAGAGGTGCTGGACTGAAGTTAAGCCTGGGGAAAGGGGAAGAAAGGTGTTTCCCTACGTTTAATGTCTTTGCCTCTCAATACCCAAATCGGTAATTAAAAGTTTGTTAATTGGCAATAAATTATATTAGGTGAAATGCCCCAAGTTGAGACTGTTTTGCCTGCAATGAATGGGTTTTCAGGTGCACATTCCAAGACTACAGTAGCTCATAGCCATCACTGTGAACAAGTCTCCCCCACTTAACCAGCTTAATCCTTGAGTACAGTTGACTCATGTTCTTTAAAGCTCCTGGAGTCCCTTGGCCCGTGCAATTACAAGGAGGAAAGCCAAGATCATCTCATATTGGAATGCTCAAAAAAGCATCACTGAAACAAAAATGAAAATAGGCTTAGCTGAGAAGTGAGCAGTTGTGATTATGAAATGTCTACCAGTTAATTTGAAGATGTATTAAATGAGGTCAGCAGAAAATCATTGATTGGAATATCATCAGTATGATGAGATGACTTGCTTGAACCAAGTGTTGCGAGCGAGGTTTCTGTCATCATCATAACCTGAAGGCTAGAGCTGAAGTTGGGGAATCTCTTGCATTAGATACCTTTACCTTTATAGAGGTATTCATACATTCATAGCTGCCTAATCTCTAATTCTTCAGGTAACTTGTATTTTTTTTCAGAGCACAAGATACTTATACTTTTGTTAATACAGTAATGCTACATGTAATATTTGTTCTCAGTAGGGCTGAGAACTATCCTATATTCTCTATCCTATTTTGTATGCAATTTCCTTTTATTTAAGCAATTACCTCTGCACTTCATAGCTGCCGGGGGGGGGGGAAGAACCCCACACCTCTCCAGAACAACCACTCCAAAACACTGAGTATGCAGCATAAATCATGACTATTACTCATTTTAACAGTGGCACAGTAAGCTGTTTTAAGTGTGCATGTGCACACAGGGGAGTAGGAAATACATTAAACAACATGACACCACTACTCTGAACTTATTAAGCAGACCAAGTGAGAGAGAAGCTGCGTCAAGGAAAGCTTCTCACTCTCAATTCCCTCCCTTCCACCCATCACCACTCCAATAAGTCAGCACAGCCAAGCCTAGGGGAAGCACAACACTCACTCCCACAGGTCTCAGTGTCAGGCTCTCGGGCAGTGGCTCAACACCAACTCATAACAGTTCCACCTCGGGTGCTCTGCTTCTACACAGTGTCCAAGGTTACAACATCCCCACCCCTGATCTCTATTACTGGGGGATTTTATAGCAAAATGTAGGCACAGGCTGCCAATCAGATTAGTCCACAATGATATCATGCTACACGTTTCCAGCAGTTGCAGGTATTGTTCTCCTGTCACTTGTTGATCCACCAAGGCTCATCACATTCAGTTCTCGTTTGCGTTGTCCTGTTGGCCACAGCTCACCACACTCAGTCCACTTGCATTGTACTCAGCTCTTGGCCAAGGTGAGGCCCACATGAGCATGTGTTTACATAGACACACCCCTTCACTAGGAATATAAAAGCCCTGCTTTTATATTCTGCATATATTAACACACACAAGCTATGCTGCACTGTATAACAATTAGCCCCACTCAATGACTGATAAAGAAAGAAAGAAGTACCTAATGATACCTAGATACTAAACAGTCTCCAGAGGCGGAAGAAAGGCAAAAAGTTAGTACTCTAATATATAACAGAGAATTATTATTTTCCACTGATACCAGTGGATGCGTAAGAAATACTGAAACTGATGAATAACATCACAGTAAAAAGTATTGAGTATTGCACTCTCTAAAACAATCAACAGTTTTGATGGTATACAGGCATCTTAATTTTACTGTATTTCATTACTGTTTTAATCAGAGGGAATGGTAGCCTTCACATTTGAAGGTTCAAGTGAACTCTATATCATAAGGAATTAAAAAAAAAATCAGTTTCAAAGCATAGACTGATTTTTCCTTCTCAAACGTAATGAAGTTAGTGCTGGAGAATCCAATTCATTAGTACTTTAACTTGAATTTCAAAGATGATGTGTTTAAGATAAAAAGTGTCCTTCAGGATTTTTATTTAGCAAAACCTGCATCTGTAGGTAAAAATGCTCTTCCTTACTTGCATCACATTTCTACCATATTTTATCATACTCTAAATTCGCGAAAAGCTTCTGAAGGTGTCAACAACTCCCTCTAAGTA